ACACACTGATGGTGATGAGCTACAATGTAGCCACAGCTGCCCTGGGGCGCACTGACAGAGGCGAGGCTGCCGAGCGCAGGTGCCACTGCTCCCTCCAACCACCAGCAGACAAGGTGGGTTGAGTGTTTTGCACAAGGACACTCCAGCAGAATTCTCTGTCCGGAGCCGGGATCGAACCTGCAACCTTCTGATTACCCACTCATCTTCTTCAGTTACTGCTGCCCATAAAGTACGACCTTCAAGGCATTGGTTCCTACTAGAGACCACTGACTTGTACATCAGACCAACAGGCTGGTACACGGTGGAGGAGCCAAGCTTCCCTGGCGTACCAACGGCTGGAGACCAGAGGTGAAAGTGATCTTTTTCTGTTAGCGGGCAGAGAGCTCTTAAAGGCAAACAGATGAAGCGTTCCCGTCAACGATTTATTTGTAGCATTAAAGTTTGACCAGCCAGACGCTCGGAGATAAAACCAGACACGAGCGCGTCGCTGCAGCTGCTGTTTCTGATTTGCTGAATGATTTACTGATCCCAAACAGAAGTGTTCAGGCTTTAAAAATAACAAAGAAAAACACCTTATTTTAGTGTTCGTTTCACCGTTAGCTTACTTGTGTTTTACTTTCCTCATTCGGATAGAAAAGAAAAGCCAGGTGTTGCATGCGTCAGAGCCCTCAGCAGCCTCAAGCTCGTCCACACAGCTCTGAAAGCAACGTCTGCACGTAAAACAGGAGGAGGCTGGGAGGAGATAGCACAGCATTATCAGGAGGTCTATTCCCCCGCTCATAGTGTAATTAAGGCAGTCGGCAGGATGAATGGAGGTCAAACTGAGGTCTGACTGACAGAAAACGGCTTTGCAAAGAAGAGAACAGTTTCATCAGAGCCGCGTTTGGGGAAAAGAAAGGAAACTTTGAGAAGTTCTTTGGAGGTTATGAAGTGTTCTTTTGTGCAGCTCGACTCACAGATATGAATCTTCATCAGGCAGTCTTCAGAGGAAACCCTTTTCCTGCTTTCTAATCAAAGCCCTTTGCATCAGAAGCTGGCGAGTAAACACCTAAACAGGCCTGGTGCATGATGGGAAAACACAAGTCACATCAGAAATGTGCAATGCAATCAGCTCAGGATGATCTGACATGTCGTGGATTCATGACAGGACAGTCCGTTCATGCACGGGGAAGGAAGCTGGCTTGTAGGTCAGAGGAACCGAAACAGGTTCAAGTTCTGATCTGATGTTGAAGTAAATCACATTCTATATTCAGCTAAATGGGATGGAGATTAATTCCACTTTGGGATCCATCCATCTGTAATCCACTGGTTTGTGGATAGGGATGTAAGAAAATATCGATATGGCAATATGTCGTGATATTTTTTCCAGCAATATTATATCGATATCCAAAAACCGTGTACAGTAATCCCTCGCTACTTCGCGGTTCGTTCATCGCGGATTCGCTGCGTCGCAGATTTTTTCTTTGGAGCATTTTTCAGGGGGAATTCGCAGATTTGCTGTATTTTTCACTGATCCGCGGTATTTTTCTATGCGAAATATCAAGAAATTCTTGTTTTTTTTTTCATCAATTTCATCATAAAATGCACTTTTTGTAATAAAACTAAAAATACCAAGTAAAAAAAATTTTTTTCTTGAGTTTTACCCACAAAAAGAGAATGTGATCATACGATAATTCAATATAGTACTGGGTCAGACAGGTCAGCTGGATTCGGGAGATGAACTTGTAGGGAGTGTGGTTTCACAAACGCGGAAGTGATAGCGTCGGTGAAACGCCGGCTGATCTAGGAAACCCCCGAGCGTTCGAGCGTCAACGAAGTGACACGGAAATGCCGGGCTTTCCAGAAGTAAGTAAGATAACTTACTATGAGCTGATAGTTCGTTGGATTGATCGGTAGGTTGGAAACTCTGATCATGAATCTGAAGAAACGATGACTGAGTGGTGAGCTGGAAAGGCGACTTCCGTTTATAGCCGCGGTTTGTGACGTAGGTGCGACGTGGAGGGAATCCCCGCGAGGGGCATGCTGGGAGTCCCTACTTCGCGGATTTTCACCTATCGCGGCCAGGTCTGGAACGCATCTACCGCGATAAACGAGGGATTACTGTATCGGAAATATCGATATGGCAATATATCGTGATATTTTTTCCTGCGTTTATTACATCGATATTCAAAAGCCATGTATCTAATCTTTGAAAGAATTTACATGCAAACATTTGTGTATTTTCTTTTCGTTTTGTGCAATTCAATTGCCACCCGCTAGTTGGCAGCAGTGTGCAACGGGTTTTGTTTCCACCATTGAAATGTAAATCCCTCCATCATGGGTCAGATACCTCATGTTAAACATGTTACGTATCAGTTTGGACTGTTCATAGAGCATTCTTACAATAAATTCAGTAAAAAAAAATTGCTTGTAACGTCTGACTGGATGTATTGCAATATATCGTGATATATCGTATCGTCTCCCCTGTATCGTGATATGTATCGTATCGCTAGAATTTCAACAATACACATCCCTGTTTGTGGAGGAAACGGATCCAGGAGAAAATCATCTCTTCCTGAGGGATCCCAGGCTTGGGTGGATGAACGTTCTCTTCAGTCTTTAGGTTATTTACCCGGAAAACCTCTAGAGGACAACCAGGAGGCTTCCAGATGCCCACACCGCCTCAGGCCCCCTCTGGAGGAAGTGCATTTGAGTCTAAATCTCAAGACCAAAGGTGAGCTCCTTCTGAACCACAACAGACCAAAGCGACCTCCTGATGACCGAAGATGTCGCCCAGATCGGTCGCTCCTCACCTCACTCATGAAGAGGACATCCACCCCTAATCTGGAGAGGAAAGGGAGTGTTCCGCTTTTCTTTTCTGATCTGAGAGAGCTGACCTGCTCCAGTGACTAAAGACACCAACAGGACCACATCCACACTAAAGCTCCACTCCAACGACGAATCCAACCTGGACCGGGAGTGAGCTAAGTCCTGCTCTGGTTGTTCGGGACTGGATAGTTCCTGCAGTGACCCCAGCGCTCCAGGTTGGTTCCTGAAATGGCCAACCCAGTGAAATGGAAACAAGCCCGACATAAACATCCAGTTCTGAACGTGGAGGCGGACGGAAGCGTGAAGACCTGGTCCACCGTCCCCTAACGTGACTCAGAGCCTTCTGTCCAACAGAAGAAGACTTTTAGGGCTTTTAGTGAAGTTTTTCCACTATTTTAAAATAATTTCAACTGTCAGAAACTTCAGGTTGGCCCTAAAATCCTTTCTGTTGCTTTTGTTTTACGATCTGCGTTCAGAAACAATGTGTGGAAGTCAAAATGCCACAGGTCTGTGCCAGAAGCTCATTACTATCATGAAGAGCAAGCACAGCTTGCCGTCACATGGCAGCTCAGCTCAGCGCTGCAGCTTTGTAGTCCGTCCAGGCAGCACGGGATCGAAAAATTCCCAGGATGCCGAGTTGAGCTTGCGTAAGGCTGGAGCATGGCCGTGCGTCGTGTTTCCCTGCCATGAAGATGCAGAGGTGTTCCGAGATGGTAGCCATGAATGTAACTGGGAAATAGCTGAGAGAGGATGACAAAAGGTGAAGAGGAAAACGGGAGGGAAGGCTGGAGAGAGCCGAGGGGCCGGTGGAGGTTGAATTCCAGCAGCCTGAGGAGGACTGAGCATCCCACACGCAGATGTTCGCGGTCACCGAGCCAGGCAGTTAATAACCACAACAATAACGAGTCGCTGTGTGACGACTGGGAGGATCCGGGATCGATCTGTAAGCGGTTTACTTCGGAGCGTCTGTGGGAGCCTCAAGTCGATCGCTTGGTTTTGTTAAATTAACTCAGCGTTCGTTAGCTGCTGAAAGACCAAAAATAAGAGGGATGTGTGACGAATCAATACATGTCCTTACCTCTAAAGACAATTGGGGCTGTGGGCAGTCACACACACACACACTCACACACACACTCACACACACACACACACACACACACACACACACACACACACACACACACACACACACACACACACGCACACACACACGCACACACACACACACACACACACACACACACACACACGCGCACACACACACACACACACACACACACACACGCACACACACACACACACACACACACACACACACACACACACACACACACACACACACACACACACACACACACACACACACACACACACACACACACGCACACACACACACACACACATGCATATTCACATGCACGCACACACACGCACGCACACACATGCATATTCACGCACGCACGCACACACACACACACACACACGCACACACACACACACACACATGCATATTCACACGCACACACACACACACACACACACACACGCGCGCGTGCACACACACACACACACACACACACACACACGCACGCACACACATGCATATTCACACACGCATGCACACACACACACAGACACGTACACACACACGCATGCACACACACACATGCATATTCACAAACGCACGCACGCACACACACACACACACACGCGCGCACGCACACACACACCCACACACACAGAGTTAGAATAATCCTTCTCTTGACTGAATTTGTTGTTTTAGAGGGAAAACCTGAACTCAGACCAAAAAAGGTTTTGGCGCACCGTTGGATAGCAAAGAGGGATGAACCGGGTTTAAAGTCGCTGTCAGAATACTGAGATTTATGAGTTTGGGCGTCTGAAAGCATCATAGTTCATCTGCTTTTCTGGTAATCTTCAAACGAGCTCTGAAACCTAGGAAAAGGTCATTTCTAATTTTTTTAAGTGTTTTTCCATCTAAAACAGATGAATTGTTGTTTAAACATGTTTAGACATCACATTCTTTACATTTTTATCATTATTTGTTCTTGTGAAGCACTTCCTGATTGTTTGTTCTTTTTATTTTGTATCGCCACCTACAGGCTGGAGGACCCCTGAGTTAAAGACCAGTAGTTCAGACCCAAAAAGCAGCGCGTGCATAATCACGAGAAAGCTTTAAAACCAAATCCTCCTGCTTTATTTTTAAAATTTCACTTCCTCCTCTGCTATTTCAGACAGAAAGGATCTCAAACACAATCATAAAATAAGCATTTTTGATCTTTAAAAGTTCAAAATGTGAAATAAAATGTCACATTTTCTCAAACGTGATTCAGCCAAATGAAACCAAAGAAAGCCTTCTCAGGGAATTCTTTTTTTACAGTGTATTTTAAGCCATGATAAAGGTAAAACTGCTTAAAATAGTAGTTTTCTTTATATTAAAGCCAGAGCCGTTTCTTGGCTTTGACACAGATTTTGATCCAATTGCCAAAATGTTTGCAGACCATTGTATTTGCATTCCTGGGAAAAAGGGAGATAAAAGAAATAAAGGAAAACAGACACAGCAATAGTTGTCACAGACATACGCCATTCTGCAAGTGTGCTAGATCTCAGCTCTGACAGCTACATCTGTGCATGCGCCCGTCTGAAAACACCGGTGACCTGTTGACCCCTGCTAGTTTTCCTCTGCTGGTTCGTGCTGCAGCCGAGTTCTGGTGTACATCTCGTCCTCTTTGCGTCTGATGCTTGGATCTTTCTTGGTCAGTAAGGGGAGAACAGAACTGACGTGTGTGGTGGACAGATGGGTCCAGGTGTCTGGTGAAGCAGCGTCTGGGGGAGGGGCTGACCGTGAAAGAGGGCGGGGCCTGAGTTTGAGGCAGGCTGGAGAGGGAATGGGGGTAATGGTGCCAGGGCGGTGGCGATGGAGAGCTGACGCTGCAGGAGACAGGAAGCCAGAGATTTGCTTTGGACCTGGTTCTTTTGTAGAGTTAGAATCTGAGAATGAAGCAGAGAAGTTTGTATTTATTTTGTTTTTTAAGGCAGAAAGTGAGCAGTTCCAGTTGCCAGAGTTGTAGTAGATTCTTGGCAATAGAAAGTTATCTAATTTATCGTGAAATAATTTTATTACTAGTGACGTGTGATCACCCCATTTCCATCCCACACAAACATCATAATATACTGGTTTTCCAGCGGCGGGGAGTTTAGCTTCCTGGAAGAAACTCCAGAGACTCAACTTGACACAACGATGAGGAATGACAACACGGTGGAGAAAGAGCAGAATACTCACAGCCTGGAGGCCTCGGTGGCGCAGGGTGGGAGTGTAGGGGCTGAACTTAGGCTTGGCCGGTTTACCTGCAGCTCGGTCCTTGTGCCTCCTGCTGCTGATGTGCTGGAGCACAAAGCAAAACCGGGGAATCAAATCTATGGAGCTAGGATTGGGACAATATTCAGCGTAACTTATACCAAGTTTTGTAACTTCGAACGTGTTTCATCACATGTAACTTTGGATTCGTAACTTGTAACTTTAGTTTTCTAACTTGTAATTCTCAATTCGTACTTGGATTTCTTGTTTTGTAACAGGAACGTTGTATTTTGTACATTTTGTAAAATCAAACTTTTATTTTGTACATTTACTACTCATTTTGTAACATCAAACATTCATTCAGAAACATGAAACTTTCGTTTTGTAACTAGCAGACGTCCAAATTGAAAAAATCAAGGTACAAGTTTGAAATCAAAACTCTCAAAACACACGTTTCATTCTACAGGTACAAACCTCAAATCTACAGTTACGGATCTTTTTGTCTCGATTCTAGCGTCAGTGGGAGGAACTTGGGTGTTGCTTGGAATGAAACAGGCAGGATCAAAGAGGGCTTGTTGTGAGAACTTGTTTATAAAATTTGTTTATTTTTTATTCTAAATATTCATGAAGAGGAGGGCGGGTTTGGGAGTCTCCCTTTGACTTGATTGACCCACACAAACAGATGGCTCCAGCCAGCGAGGCGCACAATCAGCGGCGATCAGCTGCATATTCATGAGCACCTGGACACAAAGTTAGCTTCCAGTTAGGTGGGAAAGAGGAAACTCTGTGCATCCGAATGACGGGCGGAGAGCGGCACGTTGGACTCAAATGCTCGCTGAATCGGAAGCGACGTCGCGGCTTTGAGCTCATTATCCGTGGAGGTCTGTGATTTTTAGTCACCTGCATAGACAGGTGTGGGATGTTCACGCTGAGATTCAGATTAAAATGCCTACATTTTTCTCTCTGCACTGCATGATGGATGATGGATGAGTGGAGTCACTGAACTGTGCGAACATATGAAATGAAGGCGTCTGATGAGGAAATGTCTGAATGTTTGTTCTAGGTGAGAATGATGGAATCTGCTCTAAAGACCTTTTAACTCTTATGAATTTACTTTTTTGATATTTTTGAATCTCTTGTTCATAGAGCATTTTAAGCTTTTAGAGGCTGGTTGTTTCCATGACGACACTAACACATGCATCCATGACAGTACCGTGTCCCGGTCCCTGCCCAGCCTAGGGTTGTGGCATTGAGCGAAGGTTCACTTAGAATCATGTAATACGTCCTTTTTGTTTCACACGCAGGCCGAACGCGAAAATAATCTACCTGTTAGCTGCATTAGCCGCATTAAAAAGCCACTGAGAGCTTTGGCTTGCGTGTGATGTGTTGCTGTAGCGGCCAGGATAGCGCGTGTCAGCTAGTAGAAGCTAACTGTTAGTATTAGCAACTCCAAAACATGGCTGAACATGTTCAGGCTTGTGTTATTTTGTAGCTAGCACATGAAGTGAGGTGGCGGGAGAGTCACTTTACTGTTAGCCAATCAGATGCTAGATATTTGCATATCATTAACTAATTCGCTGCCAGCCATTTCCTGATCGGTAAAGCGTTTCTCACCGTTTTTATAGTTTTTTTTAAGAGTCACAGAATGTTGCGCGCTAGGATGATGTCGACGCCAAAACAACCAAAACAAAGCGGAGACTCACCTCTTACATCAGGAAGAATCCGCACATTTCAAGCTTTATCCATTCTTTCATAATCCGTTGTTGAATTGTGATCGGCAGAAGCTTTTCCAGTTCATGCCTCACTTTTTTTTACAGCAGCAGCCCAAAACGATCTCCTAACACATGGATTTTCTGCTTCCTGATCACGTGACGTGTGACATACGCGGACGAAGATCGGCTTAGAGCTGAGATGTTTGTTCTTACGGTGCGGGGGCTCGTCCGACGCCCACACAGTACAAAGATGCAAATGACGACTTTAGTCGTCATTGGCAGTGAATGAGTTAACTTTAATGAGCAAACCTCTAAATCTTGCCGTGTTTGGCTCCTGACTCCTACGAATTATTTCTACTTCCTGAAACAGGAGCGCCGGAGCTTTTTTCCACATGGCTTTCATTCTTACTAGAAACCACAGCTGATTTATTGAAATGAGTTCATGCACCTTTTAAGTCATAATTCAGTCAATTGTAAGTGTTTTTGTAATCATTTGTAAGTGATGTCACTCAACACAAGCAGATTTCTGGAAACAGGAAGAAGTCCCCTGGTCGGAGCTAGACTCGTGACTTGCTAGATTGGTAATAAATTAGCATTCATAAAAATGTCTCATCAATCTTTTAAAGAACTAAACAGAAATGCTGGTTTAACCTTCAAACTCTCAAAGTGTTTGAGCCACAAGATGTATGAAACAAGAGCAACTTCAGGACAATGTTGCCCCAGAAACTCCCTGCCTCCATTCTCTAAACAGGTGGCAATAAAAAAAAATAAATACAATTTGTGTCTACAAAGTGTGAAAAAGAGCTCCGTGTTGCTGTGAATTCAGTTTTCTGCTGTACTAAAACCCATTTTCACTGAATCCCTGTGTTTCTACTCAGTGGTGCCAGCAAGGGGTGGCCGGGGGGTACCACGGACACCCCTGAAAAACTGTTGGCCACTCCACTGGCCCCCCAGGGAATGCCCCCTATTATTATAAATCACATTCATGTTCCCACAAACCATCCTCATAATCAAGATATAAATATAAACCCTATTAATCATTCAAAATCTAAATTTATGCAAACAGGTCAACATTTTCTAATGAAAATCTCATTAGTTTTGTGAAGACAGAATCATGCATTAAACCTCTAAAATAAAAAAGATATAAAAAAAATGGATTTGGGGTGCCACCCTGAAATCTTCTGTCTGGCCCCCCTATGAAATTTTTCTGGGGGCACCACTGCTTCTACTTACAACATAGTGTAAACTTACCTGTTTGAGCTGCGTCTCAGAGTTAACGTGCACATCACAGATCTCGCAGTGGAAAGTTTTATTCTGGAGTCCAGTTGATGACTCTGACGGAGCAGCCATCTTGGATTTCACTCCCGCCCTTGGGAACGATTTGATGGCTCCGTCCCCACTTCTGGCCTCGAGCATCGTCTTGTGTTTGGTACCTGTAAAAAAACAGTCACGTCAACCGAGTCAAACACAACCTGAGACAGCCATGTTTGACCGTGACGACGCGTTCTCACCGCTGCTATGAGCCTGAAGCTGAGAGGCCGAGTTGACCGCCACCTTACAGAGGGAACAGTAGAGGAGACGTTTTGCTTTCTCTTCCTCCGTCTCCTCCTCTGGCGTCTCTCCTTCTGATTCCTTTGGCGACTCTTTTTCTGTGGTCCTTGGACTGGGCGACAAGGACGGATTTGAGGATTCTCTCAGTGTTTCGGAGAAGCCACTGTTTATCGATGCCACCTCCGAAGACGGGTTTGGAGCTAAGGGGTTCAAAATGAGGCAAAATGAAACAGCAGGGAAGCAGAAGGAAAAAGAGAGAGAGAGAGTTCGACTCAAGGTAAGCCACCTCTCCTCTTGGTCTTGGTGATCCAGAATCACCACCATCAATGTTGAGTCTTCTTTCACGGCTTCCTCCATTTTAGCCCATTTATATTTCATCCTTTGCCCTCTTGGTGTCCGTGACCCATTGTGACACATTATACATTCACCTCGAATGGACGACTTTCCATTCACTTGTCCCTCAGAGGGCGACTGCTCAGAGCTGGTAAAGGATCTCAGATCCTCCACCCAATGTAAAAGTCTCCTTGGTAATGAAACTGAACCTCATGCAAACCCTCAGTCAGTGTGTGTGAACGAGTGAATTTGAAAAATAATTGCTATACTACAGTCTATTGACCCCTTTACTGCTCTTTACCGCGAGAGACCTTCAGAACATCTCTACGTTGTTGGTAGTTCACCATCTCCAGTCAGCTGTTGGGGATCTCTAGGAGGTATAAATGCACCCTAACCAATCCATGGCTAACCCTAGAAACCGTGCGCTCAGACTTAAAGATGCTAACTCCAAAGATGGAAACACGTTTCTTCATGCTTTGTTTGTAAACTCCACCTGGGACAGGGTCTGCCCGTCTGCCCTAGATTGCATTAAAGAGCAAGTCAACCCCTACCAGAGTCTAACTCCACTCTCTCACTTCATGTTTGAAAAATGCAACAAATGCTGTTGCCAGGCAGACCGAGAGGGCGGAGCCACTAACAAATACACACACAGGCTCACGACAGCATTGTGACATCATAATGTACCAGATGACATCATAGCATACCTCTTAGCCAATAGCGGTGGCAGATTTAAATTAGAATACAGTGCAGAGTTTTTACCTGACAACGGCACAACACTGACAGTTTTAGGCAGAATATTTAAATTTTAACTAAGATGCACTGAAGTAACAAATTGTTGACTACATGTGTCTGAAGCACGATTAGACACTCGTTTATTTAGTTTATCAGCAAAAAAAAGTTTATTTGGGGGTGACTTGCTCTTTAAATGCCTCTTCAGGCGTTTGTCACACATGGAGATAAAATCAGATATTCTTCCTATTTCCCTGCAGCTCACAGAAACTAATTTCCATCACTTTTTGTTGAGTGAAAGATAAAAACGCACCCGTCTACAGGTGATTATGAGCTCTGTCAACTCCTTCAATCGCACCAACGATCAATGATTTCCCTTCGGATCTGCCTGTAAGGTCTATAATTGGCAGTCCTGTACAAAGATGATTTGGCTCCGTTATCTTTTGTGAGACTAACCGGCTCCTGGACGAGCTCTCGCTGATTCAGAGATTCACTTTTAGCTAATAACAGCGATTAGCTCTGCCTTAGCTGAGTGTTTATCTAGACTGATCCCTTTTTCTGAAAACAACCTCCAAGCCGAGAAATTATCTTTTGGTTTTATCACACAGCGGAGGTCGGGTGCCACCGCAGCCGTCCGTGCTGCTTTTGTTTCTTTAAACGCAAAAAATCCTAATAAGCTGGAAATTGCCGACACACACACACTGTACAGCTGTCCGCCGAGCACACTCAAAGCATTTCATGTGGGCTTTTGATCTCAGGAGGCCACTGATCGAGGTCAGAAAAAGTAGAGGCAAAGCAGAGGATAACGCTCAACCTTTATTCTCCTCGCTGAGCAACCCAGAGCCCGGGAGGGTTATCACATCAAAGAGTAAAAGTCGTGACGGAGCAAAGAAGGTTCAAGCTGTACGTTCATATATCTAACGCTGTCATTACTTGAAGTCTGCGCGCACACACACACACACACACACACCTTCTGATGTTGTGTCGGAGCTGGAGGGCAGTGAGCAGGGTGACGACAGGATTTGCGATGTGGTTTCCTTGGCGACCGGTTCAGGGGTCTTGATCTTTGAATCTGGGGCGTCCAGAGCTTTGAGCCTCTTGGCGTGCCTTGTGCCGCTGTAATGGGAAGAGGCCTGAGCCTGTGGGTCCGACAACAAACCAGAAACACAGTCGCACAAAAATATAAAACCCCGAGAAGAATTTGCATCACGGTACATCGTGTGAACACAAATAACGGTGTAGCAACCACTAAGCATAGTTTAGACAAGCACCATCTTACATTGGTGATCTTCTTAGTCCCTACACCCCCAGCAGGTCCCTGAGGTCCAGTGATCAAAGCCTACTGGTTGTGCAGCACCAGGCTAAAGACCAAAGGTGACAGATCATTTGCTGCTGTGGCCCCCCAGACTCTGGAACTCTCTCCCCCTGAGCCTGAGATCAGTGGACTCAGTGGTCTCCTTTAAAAAGCAGCTGAAGACTCACTTGTTCAAGCTGGCTTTTGTATGACCTTCTTCACCTCTCTCTCTTTATTTTGCTCTCCCCACCTATTCCACCTTCCTCAGGGTCCACTGATTTCCCTCTTTCCAATTCACTCTCTCTCTTTCTTAACATTTTTTCTTTTAAATCGCAATAGCTTATTCTTGCTCATTTTAAATATATTTTAAACATTTTCGAAATGCTTTTTTATATTTTTACAATTTTTTTATTTTTTGTTTTTGTTTTTGTGAAGCGCCTCGTGATTTTTATCTTGAGAGGCGCTATAGAAATGATATTTTCTTCTTCTTTCTTCTTCTTAGTTATGAAATGCTGCTGTAGCGTCACGAATGGCCTCTATTTTGTGACGACGGTCACATTTTCCCAGCTGGGTCAAGCTGGGTCGTTCTGTAACTTTGCCCCACAGATTAACAAAGCCAGGAGCCGTGATGTCTGCTGAAACCATCTTTATCTGCTGCTGTTCCATCCCAAGATGAAGGACACTTCAAGTTTCACAATAATAATTTTAATAAACTCTTGACTTTATTACTGTTATTACAACCATCATAAATAATCCCTTGATTCAGTATAAATGTATTTTAATTACTGAAATGACTTATTATGCTTTGGGTATAATAATGATTATTGTTGATAATCCTAATGTGTGTTCAGTAAACCAGAAGGTCATCTTGCACGTTAGCCAGCCTCATTCAGAAAGGATCCAGGCTAAAGGGTAAAACCATCTCACATGTCGTTACTTCATGACCAAGCTTTCTGACGCTAAGAGGGCGTGTTCTGAGGGTTTTGTTAAAACCGAATCCCGCAGCTAAAGTTCAGTTCTTGATCCATACCAGGAGACGAGGGACGGCCGCCCAAATCTCTTCTAAGCATTCTGTCACGCCGATAGACTTGCTTCGAATAGACACACCTGTTTCCAGCTGACGCAAAACTCCTTCAGAGTTATTGATTTTGAGACGCTAGTAGTTCCACCAGCCGAGTGACCCACGGAGACATCTCAGGACCGATATGGTCGCACTAAGGTCCTTCTACCAACCTCGTGCCCGGAGAAAACCATCTCCCCATGACCTCTTGGATCCAGAAGAGGGTCTCCTGATCTGGGTGAGATAGACACTTTTGACAGATGGCGTCTGTATGCTGTTCTTCCTAAGAAACGACTCAGTTAGCTGCAAAACCAACTTTCCACCCAGAAACGCTTCTCGTTGGCATATGAACTTCTATCGAATATATAATATCCTAGATATTAATATATGATCAACAGTGTTGATTCTAGCATGTAGTTAACTACGCTACACTGCTCAACGGGTTCCTTCCTGTTTCGTGTATTTTTCTCTTCTACAGAACTTCCTCGGACTTGATCTCCCATTAGATAAATGGGACGAGATTCCGGGTGTAGCTCTTAAATAGTTTTTTAACTTTCCAACAGAAAGTCATAATTACACTGATGAGGGTTCTTCCGCTGACTTATGGGGTGTCTCAGGGGTCTATTGTTGGATCTGCTGGATTTTCTACAAAGAACAACAAACTATGGCCAAATGTTTGGAGAAAACACGTGAGCATGAGCTCAAGTACACCCGAAGGTTTTCCAGTGGATTTGTGAAGGAGGCTTTGAACACAAATGAAGTCCAGGAAGCACCCGAATTTTCTCCTGAAATTAAGTTTGAACTGGAACATCATTTGTGCACAGCTTGCTTAGGAAAAGCAGATGTGACTAATGCACAGAGAGGACTTTTGGAGAATGATTTAGTGTCAACAAGGGCAGCAAAGAAGCCACTTTTCTCCAAGATAAACATCAGGGTCACACTGATACTCTGCAAAAGGCACCAGGGCTGGAAGAAAGACACTTTCTTTGACGAATCTCCTTTCAAATAGTTTATTGCATTGAGGAAACAGATCGTCCAGATAAAAAAGGTCAATGCTTCCATCAGTCCTGTGTCCTGCCAGCAGTAAATCACCCTGAAACGATTCATGTGTGGGGCTGCTTCTCAGCCAGAGGAGTGGACTCAGTTCAGCCTCAGTCATGAATAAAGAAGGTCCCGAAACATCCTCCAAGAGGAACTCCTCCCAACCATCCAAGGACAGTTTAGTGATGAGAAATATGTTTCCAGCATGATGGAGCATCTTACTGAAGTTTTATCTGAGTGGCTCAGGGAGCAAAGATTAAAGTTATGTGTTCATTTTTCAGGAGACTCTCCCCGTGGTGGGTGGACAAGCAAAATCCGCAAATTCAGCCAAACTCGAAACATGGACTTTTCAAAGATGGGCCACCAGCCAGCACCTACAACGCAGCTCAGAACCTTATTCCCAAACAGTTTCGGTATCGGTCACACCCTCGGGCATCTAATCTAAACAACCATCCCCAAACAACAGAGGCTAACAACTCCAACCTGTGGGGGTTGGGGGGGGTACTCAGAGGTAGTTTCAGCTCGTTAAGCAACAATAGACAGCTACAGTTTATAAGCTTGACCCTCCCATAGTCAGAATTGACAAAGCTCCTCGGATGAGAAACCAAAGAAGTCCAGTTGCCTTCATCTGAGCCCTTTTAGATGGGCCACCATCTTTCAGGATTTGTACATACTAAATGAAAGTGTACTTTCTCACAAATGAAGTGATTTTATTCCATTACACCACGGTGAATTTGAATTGAATTCTCTTTGCGGTGTTCCTGTGTCACCCAGTTATTACATAAGACAGCTTCATCACCTCACAACCAAGCACACGGCCAGAGACGAGCGCAGGTCCTCCATGCCATCGTCTAAGGCTGTGTGAAGAACAAAACGCTCCATGATAAAGAATCACTTTAAGGTGTGTGCGTTTCTCGTGTGACTCCACCAACCTCAGAGTTGAATCTCAGTCGACAGACGCCGCAGGAGCTGGGCTTCCTCTTCAGGGGTGAAGCTAACCTGAAGGCTGGGCCGAGCAGAGCCTTGTGGATGAGATCCACCTGCAACAAATCAATAGGCAGGTTAATCTGTTAACCCATGGCTTCATACCAACACAGATTACTGCTAGCGGTTCAACTTGTCCTTAAAAGTAGTTGTTTGTTTAAGCCCTGCTAGGCTATTAACACCAATCTACATCAAACCACCTCGGGTCTTCAGACAGAGGATCAGGATTAGTACCTTCATCATAAACCGGCCTTTTCCAGTCCCATACATGTCTACTGCCCTCTAGTGGAGGATCTACATGTGGAAAGAGCCACATTTGTTTCTGTTATATGGTTCCATGCACATAAAATACAAAATAAAATAAATTCTATATAAAATTATTAGACAGTAAATAGTTTTGTTTAACAAACTAGACTTTATTATTATTTCAAGGTCAGCGTTACTAACATTTAATACATTTGAAGTGGTTTCTAGTAGGATTGAATTCTTCGAGGGTCTTACTCCGGGGAAACAAAGCTCTGGTGTGCCTGTTACAGGACAGAGAACTCAGAGTGGTAGAACACGGCAGGATTTTTGGAGTTTTATTTCCTGATATTTGGATGCCTTGTCTCAGACTGGCTAACATTGTTGATGTTTTATCTCACAAATAACAAGCCTGGAGGAGTTCTGCTGTGTGGTGGAGTTACTAATGCTAAAGGTTAGCTTCTACTAGCTGAGACGTTCAGTTACTAATGCTAAAGGTTAGCTTCTACTAGCTGAGATGTTCAGTTACTAATGCTAAAGGTTAGCTTCTACTAGCTGAGACGTTCAGTTACTAATGCTAAAGGTTAGCTTCTACTAGCTGAGACGTTCAGTTACTAATGCTAAAGGTTAGCTTCTACTAGCTGAGACGTTCAGTTACTAATGCTAAAGGTTAGCTTCTACTAGCTGAGACATTCAGTTACTAATGCTAAAGGTTAGCTTCTACTAGCTGAGACGTTCTCTGCCGTTGGGCGCTAAACCAACAACAGCCTTCCCCAACGTGAGTCAAGAAGGGTGAGTCCATGAATGTTCAGTGTGACGTAGATCTGTCAGACTTTTCTAATCCTAGAGTTTCACCGTCTGTTTTCTGTCAGAAGCTAAAGCGGGAGATAGGTGTAGGAGACTATTTTCATGTTCAGTCCTTTAAGGTTTAATAGAGAAATATCTAGAAGGTTTGAATCAGAAGAAGCAGATTAAACATAGTTATGTAAGGCTTAACTCTCTTTATACACACAGAACGGTGTTACGTTTAGGTGGAGAGACTCGTATCTACTAGCACGCACAGAAAGACAGTACAGTGTAGAGAGAACGGTTTAAAACACAAACAGATGGATTAAATCTCTTTAACTAAAAAAATGCTATTAGCAAAGAGTCGTCCGCTTCTCCATTTGTGACTCTTATGAAGTAATATTAAAATAATCTAATCTAAACTACTGTATGTTTATTGAAGCAGATTCTCCTGACATTTTGAAATATGCGTCTGGGCTGCTTATCCATCCATCCATCCATCCATTTTCATCCGCTTATCCGGAGTCGGGGGGGGGGGGGGGGGGGGGGCAGTAGCCTAAGTCAGGAGGCCCAGACTTCCCTCTCCCCAGCCACTTGGGCCAGCTCCTCCGGGGAATCCCAAGGTGTTCCCTGGCCAGATGAGAGACATAGTCCCTCCACCGTGTCCTGGGTCTCCTCCCGGTTGGATGTGCCCGGAAAACCTCACCAGGGAGGCGTCCAGGAGGCATCCTGACCAGATGCCTGAGCCACCTCAACTGGCTTCTCTTGATGTGGAGGAGCAGCGGATCTACTCTGAGCCCCTCCTGAATGACCGAGCTTCTCACCCTATCTCTAAGGGAGAGCCCAGCCACTCTTCGGAGGAAACTCATTTTGGCCGCTTGTATCCGCGATCTCGTTCTTTCGGTCACTACTCAAAGCTCATGACCATAGGTGAGGGTAGGAACGTAGATCGACCGGTAAATCAAGAGCTTCGCCTTCTGACTCCGCTCTCTCTTCACCACGACGCACGGTGTCAGTGTCTGGGCTGCTTCTCATCATCACACTTAGATAAATTAATTTGCATCTTGAATGTTTAATTCCTTCCTTTATTTTATAAAAAGTTCTGTGTGCTTGTGCAGCTGCACGTCGGGATAAGGCTAAATGCAGACCTCCACTGCCCTCTATGGCCAGAATACCACATCTGCAACTTCAGAGTGTCCGCTCAGTTGGGCATATGGCGCTGAAGCCTGCTTCCAGCACATTTCCTGCATGTTTTAGATCAGGAACACAGCGGATTTGTTTAATTTAGTGATGAATCGCTCCTGTAGACATAAATGAAGGCTGGGAGACCTTGCAGCGGTTAGATTAAGGTGCTAAAAAGATGAACGCACAGCAAGGAGAAAGTTTCACTTTTGGTTCTACTAAACTGACACTAGGGGGTGCTAAAAGCCAAATGAGCCTACAGACGTAGGAATGCTTTAATGTTCTGTGTCGGGTCCATTTGGACCACCATGAAGCCACTCTGTCCACAGCCTGCATTAACAACAGACTTTTTACAGGCCCTTTTAAAACCTGTAGGGTGTCTCGCCTGGTTCTGCTACAGGAGGAGACTGACCCGGAGGATTTCTCTCCAGTTTAAGGAAAAGTTTCACAGCTTTAAACGATGCCTGTGTCCCTTTTAGTCCCAGACCTCTGAACTTTGGTGTTTCAGCACCGCTGCGAGTGTTCACGTGCCGCCAGAATCTGACCACACAGCGTCACGCACCTCGTGGCGTTACTGGAAATCATAATGAGCAGAAATACCGAGTGTAATAAAACTCAGAGTGGAGCAAACTGAATCACAACCTGAAAAGGGAGGCAGTAAAATCCAGCTCAGGGAGGTGGGTGGGGCTGGCAGTTTAATGTAAATTATTTTGGGGGCAGCCAATAAGTTCTGAAAGTCCTGGGAACACAGCTCCGGAGGTTCAGCTTGTTTTCCAAGAGCCGAAGATGAATTTCTACTCCAACGTCAGAGCCGGAGCGAGCGTATGTGTGATTTTTCTTTGATCACTCCAGGCAGCAGCACTGGAATGCATCTGTGGACTCACCGGCCTCACCTCGCCTCCCCGTTTCCCCCACGACCCGCTGCACCAAAGTCAAACAAACTCCACGACAACACGCTCAGAACTTTGCGTTAAACATTCACGAATCTGAGCTGGAAGCTCCTCTGGGTGAGATTTTAACGTCACACCGTCGTTTCCCTCTTCCTCCTCCCTCCCGCATCACGGGCTGACCTTCCATCGCACGTTTCCCCCTCCACCACCCCTGCATCTGCTCACCTCCAAACACTCCATCTGAGCAGAGTCACCTTCCCGTCTCCCCACAGACTCACTCCTCCTTCCCCTCGACTCACTCTGCACCTCATAATCTTCAAGCACCTGTGGCAAAGTCGGCTTGCCCTTTTTTACATGTATCGTCCTGTTCTTTGTGCACACACACACACACACACACGCACGCACACACACACACACAGATAACAGATTCCGCATCAACTGCTAAAACAAATCTTCTAAATGGAGACATCACATCCAGCACACAGCATCAATTCTAATCAGCACCATCTTTACTCGGAGGTTTTGCACCACAGCAGACACGTCGAGCTCCAGAGAGCCAGTTATGGCTGCAACATACGTCCACGTGAAACAACGCAGACAACCACCTGGATGGCGCCCAGCCGTCAGCGTTTATGATGATTATTAATCCTGTTTACCAGCTATGATGGAAATGTGCTTCTGCTTTTCTTCCCTCGTCATTTAAACGATCCTTTTGTTGGAATCGGCATGACGACGTTTTAAAAGGAAAGAATGTTCCTCCTCGCGTTAGAAACTAGAAGCAGAAATTGAAGTTTGAATAGCCGGATCACGACGAGCATCCGCAAAGCCGTAACCATGACGACGCACGTGTAGGCATCAAACAAACTCCCGTTTGGAGCTTTATGGGAGCCGACGCACATTGCATCTAGGCTGAAGAGAAAACAGGGCCTTATAAACGCAAGAGAAATACAACACACACACACACTCAGGAGAAAACACACGCTGTCAGAGTTCAGCCAAACACACACCCACAGATTTAATGCGGAGGAGGCAGAAGAGTCTCCAAACATTTTTATTCCTACAGCTGCTTTAAAATGTCTCAAATGTAAAAATTATGTTATTTTTTACTTCAGTGTTCACAATAAATGCAAAGCTTTTGAGTTTTAGTTGATGAGTTACCTAATAATCATAAACAATGCACTTTTCCATCATTTGTGGCAAATGTATTTGATTTTATTCAATGCAGTAAATGCAGTAAAGTAGGAAAACTGCAGCCTGCCTTTAAAAGGCTGCTTACAAACGAAGCTAAGAGACTTTTACAGGTGTGACTGCAGCCGGCAGAGATGCAAGAGATGGAATAAAATAAAAATAAAAATAATAAAAAAAATAAAAATACATAAAATTAATAAAAAATGCACTTTAAAACAAAAATACAAAATCCACAAATAAAAAAAATATTATTAAAATTGACATAAAAATTTAATTTTACATTTTTTAATAAAATAAAAATTGTATTTAATTTAATAAAATAGAATGTTCTTTATTAAAATACATTTTTAATAAAAAATTAACTTTTAAATAAAATATAATTTTTCAAATTACATTCTATTTTATTTAATAAAATATACTTTTTAAATAAAATAGATTTTTTTAAATTCACTCATTTTATTTATTAAAATATAATTGTATTTATTAAAATAAAATAAAATAATTAGAGTGAGGGTTGGAAGAAAAGAGAAGGGATTGTTTTTTATTATTATTTTAGGAAATACTTCAGCTTGTGTTGCGGTCATCATGCTCTAGTATATTATTTTGATTTCAGCAGGTTGCTAAAAAATGAAGGAGGGAAAAATAAAGAGGGTCTGAAAGAAAGGTCAGGAGGAGGAAATGGCGGGGGGGATTGAGATGGATGACAAAGTGGAAAATATATATTTATGGTCAAAGAGCAAGTGCATCGTAGAAAGTGGAGGAGGAGGCTTGAAATGAAAGGAAACTGGGGGACCGGGTGTGCACCTGGACATGTGTTACTTTAGAGGCAGGTGCCTACCTGCTGCCAAAGTGATGTGAGCCCAGCGCTCGCTCACACAGCAATAAATACACCAGACTGTAAGCTGACAGCTAGGAAGTCTGACACACTTGTTATTTCAACACATTTGCAGCCCTGTGAGTCATTCTCTGTGGGAAAAAAACTCTTGCACTCCTGTTTCTGGGAGAGGACGTCAGCTGGAGCCGGATTTGGACTTTTACTCATCATTACTTCCTGATATTTGGACATCTAGCTTCTGATTGGCTAACAGCAATGTGACTCTTCCATTTGCTCTGCAACATTGATGTTTTATCTCAACAAACCACACAAGCCTGAAGGAGTTCTGCTGTGTGGTGGAGTTGCTAATGCTAACAGTTAGCTCCTACTAGCCAAAACACGCTCTGCTCTCTCCTGCATGCCCAATAAACAACAGCCTTCCCTGTCATGAACCAGGATGGGTGAGTCCATGAATGCTCATTTTCAGTGTGATGTAGATGTGTGTGGCCACAGACTCACAAATCACCCTCGTGTTCACTATTTTTGTCACAATTCTGATTTCGACGAGGGCTTTGAGGGGGAATAGCCCGAAGAAACAACGTTTGCTCAAAAAAAAAAAAAAAGAATACATCATTATTTAGAGTTTGTGAGAACGTGAACATAATCTTTACCTGTTTGAGTGGATAAAGGGAACATAAATGAACCCTTAAAGACACATTTTGGTGCATAAAGAATTCTGCAGTCGGTCGTCCCTTGAGGTTGGTGTTCAGCTGCTAACGTGTAAAACTTTAGCTCTGCATCTGTGGAGTTATGTAGCTACTGTGTTTGCCAAATCTGTGGTGGACATTTGTAGTCTGGTTTACGCGCGCACACCTGAGAGTCAAAGAAATCCACGGATCCAGAATCCATTACTCAGCAGTGGGCTTCAATAAAGTCAAACTAAAGAGCAGAGAGGAACTCCACTGTCATTTTTGGTCAGAAAGGTTTTATTACATGAAATTGGATTAGGTCTCTGCATGAGTGGACTAAAAAAACTTAATTTATTGACCTAAAACAGACGCACACACAAGCGGTTGGTGCATTACTGCTGCTTCTCTGATGCAATCCAGAAGGATGATTTCACTCATTAAACAGGCAGGATTAAATCATGAGATATGAGACACGACTCCTAAAAACACTTAGCTCCCCGTGGGGACGCGGCCAGGTTCTGATCCCTCCACCTTCTCAAACACCGAGGCCGACAGCTCTGAGGAACGCTCTACAACACCAAAGGAATCAGCTCCACCCCCTCCAGGTTGTGTGGAAATGTCACCGCTCTGCATCACAGGTGATATATTTGGAACGGTGTGGGCAGCGCGTTGCACAAACAGCTCGGCACTGAACGTTTTTACTCCACGCAGACTAAAAGCTGCTGTGACGAGTCTGTGGGGTCTAAACGTTCAGAGTGAGGCCGGCAGTACTCACGTCAGTGAGTCCAGGAAGCAGATGGAAGGGCAGGAGGGCTTTGGGGTCGGGGGCGGGCTGGGTTCTGCCCAGTGTGGGACGAGCCAGCGGCGGCAGGGAGCTGTGGCACACATTACCTGAGCGGGGGAGAGGACATAGGATTAGATTATTCGTTTTAAATTATGGTGACAATTACAAATAATGTAGAAGAAAATAAATATCAAAACC